AAGTGTGCTAGGAATCTTATTTCACCTATGAAATGATTCAGTTCTAAATCGTATAATTTGTGCTCTTACAGTATCTTAAAAAATAACTCTTTATAATATTTCCTGGCGACTTACCTATTTTTTAAACTAACCTTCACCAGAAACGCTAAAGCCTCAAAGTGTGTTACCCAAGAATGTACAATGAATATGAATACGACAGGAGCTACAAAAAATGTATATGTATATTATCAAAAGGGAAATAAAAAAAGGTCAAGTTTGCGTGAGGGTATATACTGAATCATAATTTCTTCAAAGTTTCTTAAACGGAAAATTGAATAAGGGCATGTTATAAATAATGTCAGCATTGGAACAATGATTACTGATATGTTGATACCCTCGGAGACTAGCAATTCAACAGCAGCGGAATATACCCAGTACTAGAAACTAAAAGAAATAACACTTGCAAGGACAAGTCTTTTCTGCATTATCGTTCAAATATAAGCGACAATCATTACGATACTTAAGCCGAAGAAAACATTATTTAAACCATTGCCGTTACGTAAGCGTATTCTTTTACCGTGGTTTCTTTTTCTAAAAACAACGCTTCCTAAATCTGTCGCTGAAATAGACTCCCCAAATTATATTCAATTGTTTCCTTAATTTCATTAAGTTTGAATTGGCTAATTTACTGGTTTCTGTTCACTGATGGAGCTAATTTAAAAACTTATATTTAACTTTTGTAATTTTTATATGCCTTCACTGGGAATCGAACCCCTCATTGAGGTCTATTATGTATGACTTACATCAACTCATTGACAAAATCTCTCGACTACCAATGGGTTGCAGTTTAAATGTCTTTTCACATATATATATATATATATATATATATATATCAATGAACATTTGGTACACATCGATACAACGAACACCTTTATATTACATAATAGACAATTGTATAGTAAATGTTCGTAGCCGCAAGGTTTAGATGAATGCGTTGCAGAGTCAAGTAAGAAGATTTGTCGGTTTATATTCAAATCCCTGTTTTCTCTTTGTTGTCCCTTTTCTTTAGTTTTTCCGTCTTTCATATTTTGTATGTTATTGTGGATATTTTTGTAATAATAGCGGGTTTTCCCGTTTATAAATTATTGGCTATTCGAAGTATTTCATAAGAAAATGATTACATTCAATTGTTCCATTTTTGAAAATATAGTGTGATTTTATCTGTTTTAATACATGATATCTTTACAAATTTATATTCGCAAAATCCCTATACGAGTAAATCGTGATGTGCCTAGACTTAGATTTTTTGCTAGAACATTCGGTAACATTCATATTATGTTAACTTAGAAATTAGTTCGAATATGTCTTTTTGGTAAACTACGGATAATATTCAGATGCGTAATAATTGAAGGGAAATTTCAGTACAGTTTACTGCAAGTGCATGTGATTTTTCTAATTAATGGTTGTTTAAATATTGTGAATCATTTCAGATAATTAGGTGGTTATTTGAACTCACTGATAATAGGGCCTAATTAATAGAGGTCGGTTAATTTAAAACGTATCCAAAGTATCCGATACGTTGACGTATACGCATCTGGAGGAATATGCTTGAATAATTATTTTGATCGCGAGTTATACTCGATGTACTATTTTCAAACAATGACGGGGATCAAACTTTGTGGCCACAACTGATTAATTTGCATCTGCATATTTCTGAATGCCTCACTTAAATTTCGGGCCATAGTGGTCAATTGGTTTGTTTCAATGTCATATGTCATACGTATGAGTGGCAAATCTTGGCTTGATTTGCCACACAATCCCCATTTTCTATCAATTGCAATCAAACAATAGATATTATTGTTCTGCTAGGAGTTTCCCCTCGGTATATGTCGGTCAATTTAAAACGTATCCAAAGTATCCGATAATTAAAAAAGACTAGAACATGATTTACAACTGATATATACATGTATATGCTGCAATATTTCTACTGACAATATGCTTTCGTGTAAATGTGAGATTCATCTTGATATTCTAAAAATACTTGTTATTTCTGTAACTGACAAAGCTAACTATCGTTAGAAGTCAGCATTGTAAAATGAAGTTAAGGAAAGTATTAAATTCTCGTTTCTCCTGGGACAAATATAACCCTTCAATCGATTTTGTATCCACCATGTTTTCGACAATAAAAGCTTTTTCAGTAAAATTGGATTACGAAAATGCACTCTTATATTGATTGCAGACATCAGGAAGTTGACTCCTGATAAAGATATTATTAGTCATATCAAATGTGAACCGATACATACATAATTATACATTCCCATGCAACGCGATTCACTTCTACGGTTACATGTGATTGCCGATAAACATTTCATGGCATATTATTTTCCGAAAATCTAAAACAACGTTGTACTAATTGTTTTTATGACTAAAGTGTTTTTACATAAACTATCCTTTATCGGTCTTTAACTCCTTCTTATTTGTTTGTTGCAATTAGTGTAAAAATCAATGTTGATTGTTAAAATGAAGTATCATACTTCATGCTATTTCAGATATTTTTTTACCAAGCTTGTTGCAAGCATATTCTTATTTTGAAAGGACAATAACAGTCGATGGAATTTGTAAGAGAAAACGATTTTTCTTAAATTAAATTTAGACATTATTTTGTGAGCTTTCGCATTTCATCTATTTATTAGATTTTCATTTATAGCATATTAAGTTTTGATAGGGTTCGTGTTGCTTAAACTTTCGTTTTCTGTTCTATTTTAACCTATGATTTCTAACTGCCTTTCTTTGTATTTGCCTACTGTTTCTGGATTGTTTTTATCGATCTGTAATTGGGTAATCTGTCCTTCCTCTGTATCTTCTTAATTTCTCAATGATGGTTTGCTAATGCACTTTATGCGTTTGAATGATCGAAATGATAGAAGAGTATTTGGAGACATATCAAAGAGGACCACGTGTCCATGTAACTGAAAGCAAGTACAGCAAGTGTTGTTTACGGTAATATTTTAATAAAAATCATAGTACATACCTGTAAAAACTTATGATACTAAATTTTGTTCACGACACAGATTTCTGGGGTAGTATTGTTTTGGTACGTTCACAGTGTAGAAAGTGTTGTTAAGAAATGCCAAAAATGGTTTAAAAGAAACTGGCTAAAATTTTTAACTTGAAGGAATCATGGCTATGTAAATTTTGATAATATTATATGTTTCATCAACTGCAAATAAACAGCCACATATCGAACTGAATTTTTGGTCGTATACGCCTATTCATAACTAATAGCTTTCTTTTATAGAAATAAACTCATCATAAGTACCAGGATTGAAATTTTGTATTTACGCCAGACGCACGTTTCGTCTACAAAAGACTCATCAGTGACGCTCAAATAAAAAAAGTTAAAAAGTTAGAAATTGAAACTTGACCTTATTAACTTTAATTTATAAACCTCCTTTAAGCTCGCTATATAATTCTGGATCTGCTTTTCTCGTCCAGTTACTTTCAATGTAGTGTGTGGTTAAATTCCCATTAACGTTATCAATATTGTGAATCAATTTATTTTCGTGGGCTCGAATTTTCGTGGATAGCTGATTCCATGGTTTTCACAAATTCTACATTCAAAGCTTTTATGGGAAATTTAAAATATTTGGACATTTACATTCGGGGTTGTCCTGTATCCCATAAATATTTTAAAATGCTACCTACACACATTCGTACATGTAACGTCGCAAAGTATCATGAACTTACATATTAATATGTGTTTTGTAACATGAATGGTAATTTTTCCTTCGATCTTCGAGTGAGTCAACTTCTGTTATTTTTAGAGGAGTGCATTAACTGAATGAATTTTTAGTTATTGCACTCTCCAGTTCCGCCGTGTGTCTCTTGTCATAGGAAAAGCACAACATTGGAGGAGCTTAGACCAGTGCTCTAAGTTGTTATTTCACTGTCTAGCTCCGCCTCCTTGGCCTAGTAAACAATGAAATCAATGACCATAAATTGTCCTAATCATTTTAAACAAAATGCATACACAACAGTATATCCAAAACAAATTCGGGTAGATGGGGGACGTGGAGGGGACGGGCTTACCTTAACACTAGCCAAACTTGTAAACCTAATCCTAAATTAAAAATGATTCCCTATGCTTGAAACAAATAAATGCCCGGTGAGAGCTACAAAAAGGAATAACGTGGTCTATAAACGAAGAGACGATATCGATAAATCGGTGGATACTTGTTTTTATCGTGTCAAAAAAATGTCACTGGATTTTTAGTCGTTTAATCCAATCCATGAGTTCATTTTCTGAAAAATAAGAGAAGTTTTGTCAGAGAAAGCGCTACTATTTGATTGACATATTTAATTCATGAAAAGTACAGTTAAGTTTAACCTTTTTTATACGTGTGCATGCAAAACAAATTTCTTGTTAGAGGGGTATAAATACAGCACACACAACATTTTCCAAAAGACCAAAAAAGTCAAAAAGTATATTTTAACAAAACGCATTTGACTAGCAGGTCGAAAAACAAATGTTTTTAAACCCCTATTAGATACAGACCAAAGGTAACCACTAATGGGTTAGTATCAACCGTTGCCGCATACGTAGTGTGTCTGCACTTATAGTCAAGTAAAGGTCCGAGGCAATAGTCGATGACATTGGCTTGACTACGAATGCTGAAAAAGAAACTCTAGGGCTGGTTATTACTAACCCGTTGTACTGTTATTTTGTTTTGTATCTGACTAGCTTTCAAAGACTATTGCATAATAAGAAATTTTATGCAACAAAAATGTCCATACCGTTTATGTTCCACATCGTACGATGATTAGTGGTAATTAGTCTTTAATAAACTTGATTAAAGTACTGTTTTTCTATACCCTCTTCGTAGGTAAAGTCGTTCAGATCACACTATATAATAACAGCAATTATAATTGTTTTGTGTATTTTTTTCCTATCATAATGTTTGAAAATAAAATTGTATTTTATAAAAACAAAACTACTATAATTGTCTATCTTTCTTTTTTAGTTTGTGATTTGCTAGAACAGAATGTATACGGAATCCTTGGAGCATTTCATTCATGTGCTTTATCAACCATACAGTCTTATACTGACACTTTTAAAGTTCCCTTCATATCGTTGAGTATGCCACAACAGTCCCTGTCTTCAGATCCATATCAGCTTTACATTAGACCATCATATATTACAGGGCTTCTTGATATTGTTCAGCTTAAAGAATGGAACAAAATATTCTATATATATGAAACAGATGACGGTAGGTACAAGTTATTGATCCCTTGTAAGGACCATTGTACGTTCCGGGTGAAGGTAAATCTAGAAAAGCGCGAAGGAAACTTTGAATATATAAAGTGTCGTTTTCATTGTTTACCTACCTACCTACCTACCTACCAACCTACCTATTATTTTCCAAAGTTATGAGTTTAAATGGTGTTTGTTAAGAATTAAAATATTAATACCATATCTTTTTTATTTCGAAGATCGTGAAATATAAGAATTGAATGCTGTTTTTAGAAAATTCATTCGAAATTAAACGAAGTCACAACATCACATTTCAACAAGCATCGAAGAAGCGCTTTAATTTAGTTTCGAATAAATATGATTAGTTAGTATTTCCGGTCCTGGCCTCGGTGACTTATGTCCTTTTTTTTTATTATCTGCTATCGGTGAGTCCGACCAAGTTTGTTTACGTTCACATTTTTCAACTCAACAAGATCCAATAGAGATTTCCTTCAAATAAAATAAAATGTGCTGCAAATGAAAAATCTTGTTGATTTTCCCCCCATATATTTTCAAAATGTGCAATGCAAATTTGACGGAGAATGTTATCGACTTTCAGTTCTATTTGTTTGGTTCTTGAATTTACCGCTGTTCATTTTATGACGCTTAACCGTTTAGCTAGCTACTCAATGCTCCCTCAATACTATAAGCCTCAATACTATAAGTTAAACAATATGATTACAAGAAAAGTATAAAATGTTACCTTATTAATTTTTCTGTATTTTTGTTCCTTCAAATTACTCTCAAGGAACCCTTAGCGAACTTTCTTCCTTTGTGGCTTAATAAAAACTTAGATCAATCATAAGCAAATGTATATCTAATTTAAAACTAATGCATTACATTTTGCATTTTAACTTCTTCATTTTGATCTTGTTTCTAACGCCCCGCCTACGATAGAAAAGGGGTATGATGTTTTTCGTCTTCGCGTCCGTCCGTCCGTCAGAACATGCAAACACGCAAACACGCAACCATAATAATTTAATTAACTTATTTTTGTTTTATGGTTGTAGGATTAGTACGGTTACAACAACTATTTCAAGACATTAATAAAAGAGAAATGAGCATTGATATTGTTGTTAAAAGAGTTGTATCTGTGAGTCATTGTCATCGAGAGCTGCGAAGTGTTTACAATACAGACAGAAAAGACGATTTACGAGTATTCCTAGATCTGACAACTGAACAGTCTGAAGAACTTATTACATTAGTAGTGTGTATTATTACATTAGTAGTGTGTATTATTACATTAGTAGTGTGTATTATTACATTAGTAGTGTGTATTTTAAACATTTGTACTTCAATGTTTTGTTGTTTATTCTTTTTGAGACGACCTTCAAACCTGTAATATTTTTTAGGAAAAACCGGTTTATGAACGTTTGTTGTTGTACCAATAAAGTTTTGCAGATGTCATAGAAAGAGAAGTGAAATTTCAATATTTTAAAACTAATGTTTCCGAAAGAAATTGTATAATAATAGAAAAATATCGAGAGAAATAAGACCAACCTTTATTTGTTCTCACTTCTAAATCATGCACACACCAACATGACTGGTTTGTATATAATGGACTTAATATATCGCTACTTATGTGGAAGTAGCATATTTTCTTCATAAAACACTTTTCTACAAACTATCAGTATAATTAATACTGTGACTGAATATCGTAGGAAACTTCTATGCCGCCAATAATATGTAGATTCTTCAGTATTTAAACACATGTAAATGAACTTGATTTTAGTCTCTGATGCCTGATTTTTTTATTATTAATTGTTTTTGGCTTTTAACTAGCTTTCAGTAACTGCGAGTTCTCTCAAATCGTACTTTCGTGTTAATTTGACCTGTTGATACAATTTGTAATATATTTTTGTTATTTAATATATACCACCTTTGATAAGTGTTTAGCGATAAGTTTCCCGTACTATAGGAACAACAAAACTATCTATTTTGTAAAAATTATTTCCGTACTCCATGTATACCTTACAACAAAATTATTTTTATTAACCTGTGTACGTTATTTTATTTGGTGGCATTTTGTCCAAGGTTATGGTTGTCTTTCTGATATTGTTTTACATCTAACCCCCTTGCTTTATTAATTTTGTATTTTCATTGTGTCATAGATCAAATTTATTCGTTCAATGTATGTTCACTTGTTTTTGTTAATATGTCTTTTGATTGAGTTAAGCCATTTCAATTGATATTTTATAGTGTGTCTTTCTATGTTGTAATGTTACACTATTGTTTCAGGTAGGGTGAAGTTTGGCGCCTATTAAAACGTTTAAACCCGCTGCATTTGTTTGCACCTGTCCTAAGTCAGGAACCTGATGTTCAGTGGTTGTCGTTTGTTGATGTGGTTCACAAGCGTTTCTCGTTTCTCGTTTTTTATAAAGATTAGACCGTTGATTTTCCTGTTTGAATGGTTTTACACTAGTCATTTTTGGGGCTCTTTATAGTTTGCTGTTCGGTGTGAGCCAAGGCTCCGTGTTGAAGGCCGTACTTTGACCTATAATGGTTTACTTTTACAAATTGTAACTTGGATGGAGAGTTGTCTCATTGGCACTCATACCACATCTTCTTATATCTATTGTGTTGTGTAATATACACATTAAGACGTCTTTTATATATAATATTCTGACTAAAATTTAACCCAACTGACCAAGTCAATCGATGATTTTATGTATTTTACGTTTGAATATGAGACAGTTCTTCCACAACCTCCATTGGATAATACAAGACTTACATCTCAAAGTTAATGTAAATATACTTCATCCTAAATATAATACTTCAATGTTAAAAATGGAAATCTGTTTTGTGTTCTGTCCCTCTCCTTCAGCGAAATTTAAACCAATGTTTCTGTTACATCATGGAAAATCCGCGTGCGCTGTGTTCTGCGCTAGAGACATCTCGGCCAACTAGGCTATATAAATAAAACTTTCGTTTTCATCTAGGTTTGTAATACCGTACATCTATTATTAATAGGGTGATTACATATATACCATTCAGTCACATTAATATATTGATTGTTATAAATCTAAATATGTAACAACTATACGACTCTATGCTAAAACAAAAATTTTCTTTTTATTTACAGAAAAACGATCCGGACATTAGCAATACCAGATTTCATTTTCTAATTATAGACTTGGTAAGCATTTTATTTCATTTTATTTCATGGTAAAAATGGTATTGAAAGAGTATTAAGCATAAAAGCGACTTACATTTAACAGTAAAATATGCATAGTCTCCGGTGATGGGGGAAGGTTGGCGCCTGTTAAAACGTTTAAACCCGCTGCATTTGTATGCACCTGTCCTAAGTCAGGAGCCTGTTGTTCAGTGGTTGTCGTTTGTTGGTGTGGTTCATAGGTGTTTCTCGTTTCTCGTTTTTTATACAGATTAGACCGTTGGTTTTCCTGTTTGAATTGTTTTACACTAGTCATTTTGGGGCCCTTTATAGCTTGCTGTTCGGTGTGAGCCAAGGCTCTGAGTTGAAGGCCGTACTTTGACCTATAATTGTTAACTTTTTATACTTGTATTTTGAGACATATCAAAGAGGACCACGTGTCCATGTAACTGAAAGCAAGTGCAGTAAGTGTTGTTTACGGTAATATTTTAGTAAAAATCATAGTACATGCCTGTAAAAACTTATGATACTAAATTTTGTTCACGACACAGATTTCTGGGGTAGTATTGTTTTGGTACGCTCACAGTGAAGAAAGTGTTGTTAAGAAATGTCAAAAATGGTTTAAAAGAAACTGGCTAAAATTTTAAACATGAAGGAATCATGGCTATGTAAATTTTGATAATATTATATGTTTCATCAACTGCAAATAAACAGCCACATATCGAGCTGAATTTTTGGTCGTATACGCCTATTCATCACTAATAGCTTTCATTTATAGAAATAAACTCACCGTACTTTGACCTATAATGGTTTACTTTTATAAATTTTGACTTGGATGGAGAGTTGTCTCATTGGCACTCATACCACATCTTATTATTTATATAGACCAAGATATTATATTCAGTGATATGGGATAATCTTAAATATAACCAGAAAAAAAGAAAACAGACGTTGTGGTGCGGTCGGAATTCTTTGCTAACGGTTGTTTAGACATGTCAATGTCGTTGCAAACTGAGACGTTTAGTAATATTTTTTTCAACATTTCATTTGTTTTCACTATCGCTTTGTTTTTCTAGGGAATGAGTGATATGAACGAAACAGTACTTTCCGCGGGACTGAACGTGTCGGGTTTCAGTTTACCAGAAACAAAAGGCTGGGAATCACAGCCAACCAGAAAGAAAACAGTGAGTTTTTTTTTTATCATTTTAGATACTAGTAGTTTAAAGAAGATTATTCCACTGTATTCACTGTATGTAAATATTGATATATATTTAATATATATATATGATACCAATATTTAACTGGTCGAGACTATCCCATGTGACATTGAACAAAACTTCAAATTTCTTTCTGAGTATCATATTCCCCTCTTAACATCGGGACTACCTCAAGCGACATTACGTGAGGTTACTGTACCAAAAACAATGCGTATCGAACGTTTTTAAATAGCGATAGTATAGTCATATATGAAATATTGTATGGAAATTAATAGTTCACGGCCAGGAAGTCAAAAAAAAAAAAAAAAAGCATAAGCATAAGCAGTGGGATAAACTTTCATATGTCTTAGATAAGGGATAAATGAAGATTTGTTTCGCCCTCGAAATGTACTATTTCTCTAGTATGAAGCTCCCAGGAAATATGTATTTTCTTTGTTGAACAAATCTTCATATCGCCCAAACACATGAGAAATTATGTATATTTTATATATCAGCTAAAATTTAAAGATGTTTTATAAAAATGGTAGTAAACGCTATAAATTTATTGCTTTGGGATACCATACACATATTTTGATAAAATTAAGAATGGAAATGGGGAATGTGTCAAAGAGACAACAACCCGACCAAAGAGCAGAAAACAGCCGGAGGCCACCAATGGGTCTTCAATACAGCGAGAAAATCCCGCACCCGGAGGCGGGCTTCATCTGGCCCCTAAACCAAAATGTGTACTAGTTCAATGAAAATGAACGTCACACTAAACTCCAAAACATATAAATGAACTAAAATTATAAAACATACTAGACTAGCAAAGGCCAGAGGCTCCTGACTTGGGACAGGCGCAAAAATGCGGCGGGGTTAAACATTTTTTTGTGAGATCTCAACCCTCCCCCTATACCTCTAGCCAATGTAAAATAAACAAACACACAGCAATACGCAAAACTGACAACATATTTGTTGAATTTGGAGGTAGAAGTTTTCAACAAATTGTCTGCATTCTTATGGGAACTAACTGTGCGCCTCTCCTTTCCGACCTCTTCTTATTTTCATAGGAGTCGGAGTTCATTCAGACACTTGTGAAAAACAAGAAGATCAAAGAAGCCAGATCATTTAAACTCACATTTAGATATATTGATTATTTTCTTTCCATTAACAAACAAAACTTGTCTGATTGGGTTCCATTAATATTTCCTAAGAACAAGAGAATTTTACTAGACTTTGTGTTAAATATTAATACATTCTTATAGTTTGGGGATGATCTTGTTAAAGATGCAGTAATGGTCTTCCATAGAGCATTGAAGAAAATTGAACAAGTAACTCCTATCCATAAAGCTGACGAAATGATGAAATGCAGAGATAATGAACGTAGAATAACATTCAGTCCAGGAAAAAAAGTTCTTAATCAGATAAGAAAGGTATGTACAAAAATATATTTGACATCATTAGTTTTCTATGTTGTGTTTTGTATACTGTGGTTTGTCTTTTGGTTTCACTTCGTTTTTTGTTTTTGCCATTGCATTGTCAGTTTGTTTTTGGCCTTTGATATAAAAATAAGAAGATGATGTGGTATGATTGCTAATGAGACAACTCTCTACCAGAGACTAGAGACCAGATGACATAGAATTTAATGATCACAGATCACCTTACGACCTTCAACAATGAGCAAAACTCATATCGCATAGTCAGCTATAAAAGGCCCCGAAATGACAAAAGTAAAACAATCCAAACAAGAAAACTAACGGTCTGATTTATATACAAAATGTATGTACAAAGAACGAAAAACAAATTTGATATAATTATAGCAACAAACGACAACCACTGAATTACAGGCTCCTGACATGGGACAGGCAAATACAGTATGTGGCGGGGTTAAACTAGTTTGTTGGCGTCAAACCCTCCCCTAACCTGGGATAGTGATGTAACAGTACAACATAAGAACAAGCTATATAAAAGTTAGTTGAAAAGGGCTTAACTCATCAGATTGATACAAAGCAGAAGACATCTAACAAAAACAGACCGAACGTGAGTTTGAATGTCCCTTTGGTATCTTTCGCCTCTATTTTACATACTTTTAATATACTTCAGGTAGCGAAGGCCGTACGGTTAGCTATAGCTGGTCTCTGGTGGAATGTTGTCTCAATGGCAATTATACCACATCTTCTTATTTTTTACAGTGATGTCTTTTTATTATAAATTATAGACTGATTTAGAAAAAAAATATGATAGACAGCTATTAACAAAATTAAGTACCCGGCACATTGAGAGATAAGACAATTAACTTCTAACATTCACAGTTTGGTATTCAAAATTTATCTTAAACATGTGATAAAAGGTAAAACATACATTTTACTTGCATGTGTTCATTAAGCATTTTTCAAACATGGGATAGAAATGTACAGTTATTGAATAAAACATAAATCTGGCCGTTGGGTCATGTCGGGACCGTTTATAGCTTGTTATAAGGTACGAGTTTTGTTCCAATCTGAAGGCCGTGCAGTACATTATAGAGGGTATGGGTGGAGTTTGCGGTATACAGAATAATGTGTCAAATATACACACAAATGGACTAACAAAATAAAGAATATAGAAAAAAAGGGCAAAACAATAGAGAATAATGGAGTGCTAAACTATAAATAATAGAGATAAATGGGCAAAAAATATAAAGAATAGACAAAAATGACTTAAAATATAAAGAATACAGAAATGAAGGACCCCCATCCAGACCCTCTTTATAGCTGTTTACATCCTCGTCCTTTGGTATCTGGTTGATAGTTTTCTCATCGGCAATCATACCACATCTACTTATTTTTGTATTTATTACATGACGTGTTTTTTTTTAAGGCCATTTCATATTACTATAATATACTTTATTTTTCTACAGCTTTTGGCAATTTAAACTAATTGCTTGTGATACTAAACAAGAAAAACGTTTCATGCACACACAATCTTGTTACGACGAATTTGTTTTTTGTTTACCATACACGTTCGTGAAACTTATTTCGAAGCAGACTGAGAATGAAACGATTGTCTGTCAGTAAAGAAATGTGTTTATTACAAAACAAAAATTACAATCATACTATTTAAAAGTAGTGGACATTCTGTCGCAACCAATCTGGGTTTGATGTCTGATTTATGTTAATTTTTTTTATCCCATTTCTCGTTTTTTTTTCAAATACGTTTCATGTATTGAAGAAATTGCCAAGCGTTTTATTTGATATACATTGTATTTTAGGTAGAATATAATGGAAAAAGTGGTAAAATAAAATTTAAAAATAATGGATGGCGGAAAGATTTTGTATTGCCATTGTATGAAACAAGAATGGATATGGGAATTGCTAAAGTGAGTATACACACGTTTGTCTTGGGGAGGGATAAATCGTACTTAGTAAAAAAAAACTTTAATTTTTGATAGCACACGCTTAAATGTCTTATTTATTTCCTTTATGGAATTAACATCAATCAGCGTACCTTATGGTCTAAAATATGCCTGAATAATTGTTGACGACAAAGAACAAAATCTTCATGAAAATTATTGAAATGCTTATTTGTTTCATTTTAATCTACATAGATCGATTCGTTTTTATTATGCTATCAAAATATAGAAATAAATGATATTTTCTTGTTTTTTTGTTTTTTGTTTTTTGTATTGTTTTGTTTTCTGTAAGGACACATGCTACATTTTTCTTTTAGGTTGGAAGTTATAATCCACCGACACGGCTTAATTTACATAAACCAGATTTGGTTTCTAAACCACAGAGGCAGAATTATACAAATGACAACATAATTTGGCGAATAACCACAGTCAAGGTGACAAACCATTTTGAAACTAATATTTATTTTGTATATAGAAATTCTAATGCATAATATGACTGTCCATCATCCAATTGAATTGAATTGAATTGAATGCACACAATTTGATATTTGTTTACATGATTAATTGATTGGTTGATTGATTTATTTATTGGTACGATAAAGATATTACATTTTATACATTTAATAACGTTCGTTTCCAGTGTTTTATTGTTCGTTCCTTATACATTTTCAGTATATACACTACTATGAATACAATTTATTAAAGTAGGGTTCCAAACATTTCATACATATTTAAGCCGAGAACAAGTTAAATGCTAAATCAATAAAGTTCATTCCTTTTCTAAAAAAAAAGACTACCACAGACACAGCAAAGGCTGCTTCTTATCTTGAATTACATCTAGGAATTGAAATTGATGGTCGGTCGAGAACAAAAGTTTACGACAAAAAGATAATTTCAGTAGTGAACTTTTTATTTATATTTAGAAACATCCCAGCAAGCACTTGCGTATATATAGTATGTATTACCTGGTTGATACCATATTTCAGAACTTGCGTTACCTATCATGATGCTGCAGGGTTACTGCTTATAAGAAGCTTTTTCTCGATAGTTACATCACCGAATGACACTTATCTCCGATATTTACTTGCCAGGACGACTGTCACTACTGGATTATGATCTGGTTACCCTTAGATCATCACCCTTTTTGTGGGGTTCGTGTTATTAATTCTTGATTTTTCTGTAAAGTGTTTTGTATACATATGCTGTTCTATTCGAAGTTTGTTTCTAATTTTTGCCATGGTGTTGTCTGTTTTGCTTTGACTTATGATTTTGGACTGTCTCTTTGGTATCTTTTGCTACTTTTTCCTGTCATGAAGGTCGACCAGGATGAAAGAGGGAGATTTCGGACTGTCCGTGGAAAAAAAGAAATGGATAGAGTCGAAAATTGCCTTTCGATTGGTCGATTTATTAACTTGAAGAATTGTATTGGTTCTTTAACGCACAGCTAACGTTTAACTCTCCAACAAATATTCCCTAATATTATGATTTATATTAAAAATGTTCAAACGGAATCTATTCATATAAAAAATTCTGAAATATAAATGCATTTAATAATAGTTGTGTTTTGTATACTTCTTAAGGTATATTTTTAATATAATCTGAATAATACTGTTTCGTAGTCCATATTAAATAAATTTACAACACGGACTGAAATTTAAAATTTCTTACCTTTATAATGTTATATATACTGTTGCGAAAATCTGAATAAAACACTATAGTTCCTGGACTTAATTTTAATGAAACCCCAAATTCAAATGACTATAAAACATTAAAAGAATCATTATTCAGAATATCTGTTCTTTTATTATCTTACAGGAAGACCCATATGTAATGCATAATGAAATTGGGCAACGAACAAACGCCCAATGCGGCAGGGAAAACTTTACAGGATATATAATAGACCTGATAGATGCTGTTGCTACACATATGAAAATTAAATATAAATTATGCATTACTAAAGATGAACAATATGGAAAGGAACTTGAAAATGGTACATGGAATGGAGTGATTGGGGAATTAGTCAGAGGTGTAAGTTCATTTATAAATCATCAGGTATCTACTTTGCCCTCTAAGTTCAAAGCATTATTAAAAAAAACCTCATCAAAATTACCAGGCTTACAATTTTGTACGCCAGACGCTCGTTTCGTCTACAAAAGACTCGTCAGTGACCCTCGAATCGTAAAAATCTAAAAGGTCAAATCAAGCACGAAGATAAAGTGTTTAATGTTACTGCATCAAACGTGTAATTCATGTCTATTTTGTGATACCCGTGGACAAAATATTTTTAAAATCCAAAACCTTACATAAACTTTGAAGAGTGACATATCTCTTTGGTATCGTTCGCATCTCTTTTTCATTGTATCTCCAGTGATAATGTAAATAGATATGCAGTTGAATTTTTGCATTTTCTATTAGAAGTAGCATTAGTAGTATTGTATTGTCTTTTATATCCACTGAACCAGCTGTAAGTGTTAAAATGCCTCTCTATCTACGAAAGAAACTTGACATACAATTATGTATGGTAAACTTTAAATATGTGTGGTAAACTTTCAATAGTAAATTTTAAATATGTGTGGTAACCTTTAAATTTGTGTGGTAAACTTTAAATATGTATGGTAAACTTTAAAATTTTCACAGCAACTGCATTTTAGCGAATACACACCTAACATGCATCGCAAAGTCATGTTAGATAATAATTTAAACAAAAAGATTTCCATGAACTACAATATTAGTTGGCACATTTGTAAATTAAGGTAATGGAGAATATCATATGGCTTTTTCAATATCACATCCGTATCAACCCGAGACACCAATATAATCCCAAGAGCTCTGCTCGAAGAAATATATTGGTTGAGGGTTAATACGGGGTGTGATATTGAAAAAGCCATTTCATATAACACTCAATTCTATACCTCTAGTACTAGTCTTTTTCACGTAAAATGATGTAATACAGATTAGGGGTTTGATAAAGCCTTAACAACCGTGACTGATATCGATGACGTGACGTCATATAGATTAGGGGTTTGATAAAGCTTTTTTTACCGTGGCTGATATCGATATCATCACGGATGGTTGATACAGCATAATTGCCATTGATTGTATTACATATACAATTTACCTTTATATACTAATAAGTATATAATAAGTATAGATTATTTCATGGCATTTTTCATATCAGACCCTTTATCGGCCCTAGGTCATGATATCAGCCCAAGAGCCGCAGGCTCGAGGGCTGATATCATGAACGAGGGCCGATAAAGGGTCTGATATGATAAATGACATGTAATTATCTTTTTATCAAATACTTCAACAGAAGAAATACAGACAAGAACTATTAATTAAAATTTTGTCTTTCAATTTTTAGATAATAATTTACAGACAACCAAATACAAATTTCTTAACTTTAATTGTTTTTATTGATATTACAAGCATTTTATTTATCTTGTCACAACAATTATCATGTTCTTAGTTTGAAATTTGCTCCTCAACCATTTTGTGAAAAGTCTAAAATCACTTGCGGTTTTCCGCACTGTGTTGTCGTTTTCGAACAAATTTCCGGAAATGCACGAAGTTGCATGTGATAAACGTCACGGAAATTAACGGAAAGGCATGTGATAACATTCCGGAAGCAGTCAATAAAGGTTCCTTTATCAGCCCGCTGAGGAATCTGATCAATAAACCTAGTAATCCTTTCATAGCCTTTTAATATTTTTAAATGTTATTGAACTGTAAAATTTTAGTAATATTTTATACAAGTATATGATAATGTATGTTATATATGTTTTAGGAAGCTGATATAGCATTTTGCGCAATGACAATATCATCAGAACGAGAAAGAGTAGTCGATTTTACAAAACCGTTTATGAGTCTAGGCATCAGTATCATGATAAAGAAACCAGCCAACAAGAAAGCACACACCTTCTCATTCATGGACCCTTTGTCTTATGAAATTTGGATGTGCATTTTGTTTGCCTACGTCGGCGTTAGTGTAGTTTTATTCCTTGTCAGTAGATTTAGTCCAACAGAATGGCATATAGAAGACAACAGCACAATAAAAAACGCCTTTACCATATCTAACAGTTTATGGTATTCCCTAGGTGCTTTCATGCAACAAGGATGTGATATCAGTCCTAAGTAAGTTTAATAATGATGCATTTTGCTAAATTGTTATACAATTAATTATGATTGAATAATTACCCCATTCAGAGTTTGAGCTTATATGAAGGAGACAGCCATTGTCGTTGTTAAGTGTTACTAGAAATATCTCTATCTTTATCCACATGTGTTATACAATTCGACTTATAATAAGATTCCAGAGTTAAACGTTTATGCGTCTATGGTCGTATTTTTGTCTTTGCTGCCTACGTTACTTGGTAATACAAAATATAACCTCAATTTGATACCGAACTTTCTTTTTGTATTTTTAATTTCCTAAATGTCTGAAGATTTATGAAACCATATTCCTTGAAGTAAATAATATTTGAAAGATTTTTTTTCCATTTTTAAGCGAATAACAAGTACTTGCTTTGCCCTGATATGATGAAGTATGCAATAAGACGCATTTCTACCTCTTTTCTTTTACTAAAAGGTATTTAGCAACAAATATAAGACGTATAATCGATGAAAGAATTTAAATATGCGCGCAGATAAATAAATATAAAATTTCGACAGTACGAATAATAAAAAAAAATCTGACAAAAACAACCAAAACTGGATTTATATTGTATATTTATAAGTTTGAGTTTAACACTTTTTCAAGAAATAAACAAAAAGTATTTTGAAAACTAGTCTCTAAGAACGATAGTTTTGAGGCCAATTGAAGGTTTATTTTAACTAGAATGATTTTTGCAGGTCTGTTTCTGGTAGAATTGTTGGTAGTGTATGGTGGTTTTTCACTTTGATCATTATATCATCTTATACAGCAAATTTAGCGGCTTTTCTCACAGTTGAGAGAATGAACACGCCAATTGATTCTGCAGAGGATTTAGCTAAACAAACACGAATTCAGTATGGAGTTTATGAAGGCGGAACAACCTATAATTTCTTTAAGGTAACTTATTCATAATAATTTTAAAATTTAAGATCTGTTTAATTTGGTAACATCTTTAGAAAATAATAGTTTGTTTAGAATTTACTATGTCTTAAACAGATTCTTCTATATAACAAAGGAAAAGCCTAACAATGTTACTGAACTGTGATTATTATTGACTGTCAAATTTTAACCAATCCATTCAATAAATAGTCTCAAAATATCCATAGTTTGATGATGATATCGATGATGATGGATGGCTGCTTAACTTCCGGCGGTAAATTATTATGCATATTCAGGACGAGAACATGTGAATAAATTATGAATATTAACCCTACTTTGTACTAGACCGACTCACTGAGCCTGATTTTTAACGTGCCAGTTCACAAGTTCAAAGTCTGCAGGAAGACACGTGACCTTACCCAGGAACATTATTCTGACTCCGAGCCGACCAGTCCTTGCTTTTACACCTTAATGCCGCGTGCTTAGCGATAAAGTAGCAAATACCAATTCTATTGTCTTTGGTTTGACCCGACCGGGGTTCTAACCCACGGCCTCCCGCACTCGAGGCGAACACGCTACCACGAGACCACCGAGGCGGTCCCATAGTTTGAACTATAGTATGAAATCCAAGCAAAGTTTTAAATTCTTCAAAAGTTTCATTCGACATTTGGTCAGAGACCACTTTCATTGTTTCTTTATTATCCTTATTCATGTAGAAAACAGTTGCTCTCAGAACCACCTACTCACTTCAAAATACAATGATGACGAGTCAAACACACTATAAACAACAGCTGTGCTGACTTTCAGGCAACAGAATGCGTTACACGAAAAGATTTATTTGAAATCTACATTATAAAAATAGGAAGATATTGTAGGATCGCCAAAGAGACAACTATCCATGTATGCTTTAATAAACAATTTTGCAGACATTTTTCATAATTCATAATTATTTATGTCAAAACGACTGGAATCTAACAGGGTTTTTTTTATTAACAATGAATACCCTTTTCAGGAAATGAGAATGTAATATGAATAAGAAAAAAAAGTAATATTTTTCAGTTCTATGTTAACGAATGCATATGTTCTGACTATGGTAGAAACCATGCAAGAGAATTGTGTATACGTCTACCAGTCAGCAATCCAACAACACGAGCAAATGCCGTCCATTTGACTTGAATGTTACAAAAAGTATTTGAAGCAAACTTGTTTCTAAAATTCAATTTTAATAAGTCTTAGAAAATCATAAACACTTAAATATTACGTCTAATGAAAGTCATTTAAAGGATTATGTTTCTAGAAATGTTTTCATGTTCTACATTTATAACAATCAAGTCGGAAACTGTTTCAGAAATCAAAGGTAGCAATTTATGAACGTATGTGGGCTTACATGTCTTCTGCACAAGATGTGTTTGCAAAGACAACATCGGAAGGAGTAAAGAGGGTTCGAGATGAAAATGGAAAGTATGCATATTTGATAGAATCGTCCACAAATGAATATATTAACACAAGAAAACCATGTGATACCATGAAGGTCGGAAGCAATCTAGATTCAAAGGGATATGGCATTGCAACTCCAATTGGGTCAAATCTAAGGTATTACATGTATATAACTATTATTCTTCTTCGTCCGTTTTTAGTTGTACCATTTTCTATCCCCCACCGTTATCGGAGGGGGCATTAAATGTTACCCTTGTCCGTCCGTACGTTTTTATGAACGTACGTCCCGAAATTGGTTTCCGTTCTTTAACTTTAGTCTGCCTCAACCAAATGTTATGAAACTTATACACAATACTTATTACCACAAAACACAGATCGAATTCGAATTTGGATGGCGTCAATTTTACCGTTCTCGAGTTATGCCCTTTATAACGTTATATGCAAGCGGGTGCATTATCTGTGTCACATGGACACATTCTTCATTTATTTATGTCATGTATTTTTGTAACTTGTTCAACTATAATTAATTATGGTGCGATGTAGCAGATTTATATAGATCAATATGGGTTGATTAAAAAAAATCTGTTTTTGTTTTATATTTTGTAATACTTTATTGAATTTTTTTTCTTCATTTTTTTTGTTTTTGTTTTTGTTTTATTGTTTAATAGTTTGATAGTTTTTTTTATTTGTTTTTTTCCCTTATATACAATAGCTATCATGAATACAACAGTCGCATTGCTTTCAAGGGTTGCAAACTTATATGAGATATATATCCTTTAATTTACTTCACCAGACAAGCGTCTACTTATATAAGACCCATCATCGATGCTTTAATAAAAACTATGGGAAGAAGTTACATAGCACTGAAACCAAAAAGACTGAGACAGAAATGCATGTGTTTGTTCGAAAATAAAAATAAAAATGTGAACAATCTATAGAACAAGACCGAACAATAGTAAATTAGCAAAATATTTGCGAAATATATAAAAGGGCAATCGATGTTCATGAAATAACGGAATTTATTATATGTGTGACGGGATTGCTTCCCTTCAGCAGTAGATACTTAGTCAACCGTAAGCGGTTGAGCTAAGGAAGTATTTCTTTAGCTCAGTCGGTTAGAGTACTGCCTTGTAACACAGAGGTCCCGGGTTCGAGTCCCGTAGGAGACAATGTGACTTTGCATTGCGAATCATGCTCTCCGGTTACATATGAACTAATCAAATGCTTTGTTCAATGCATTTCCAATCGAACTATGTGAAATAGATCTGTACTTGATTAAAGCATCATCGTAATGTGTGTTGGCGTTCAATGTACGCTAGACGTTTAATTTAAATTTCTAAATATGTGAACAAACTTACAATAGTATATCTCTTTCACTGAGTACATATACTATATTTTATACAAGTATTATTCTATTGCAACGTTAATTGTAACGTTCATGTTGATTGGATAATGTGAACAAATTTCAGGACATTGATTCTATGATGCATTATCTTTAATTGCGGGCCGTATGACTGATTATAATATGCAGGATTTAGTAGTGATTTTTTCAGTTTATTAGAATGCAGATAACATAATTGCAATGTGTTTGAGAATTTTGGGCATCAATTTTTGACTGTTTGTTGACACTATCCGCTTACTCAATTTGCAACAATCAAATCACTATGTATGCCCACAGATCGTGAAACACAATACTTTTGATCCTTTAATTTCATATATATTTAATCGCCTTTCAATGAAACAAGCAACGTTAGTAACTATGAAAAACATGTCACCTTGTAGAGACAGACTTACGCTTGCCGTTCTTAACTTAAGGGAAAGAGGAAGTTTACAGTCATTGAAGAAAAAGTGGTGGGACGAGCGATCAGAATGCGGAGATGATGCCACTGTCATGGTAAGCCACATAAGATTTTAGATAAGACAATATTTAATGTAAACAAAAAAGTTCATACAAAATTTTCCAAAGAGGCATGAATGTCATTAACGATTAAAAGCACTTAACTTCACAAGGAATGTGAAAATTATGAATTCTCCGGGAAACCATACTAAAACATAGGAATAACAACAACAAAAATATTTTTGAGGAATTTTTTTTTACAAATATTGGATTTCAATAGTTTCCATAGCAACGAAGCTCATTTAACATGGATTATAGTCTATAAATGTAATAAAACTACTTAAAATTTCTTGAAATGTATGTCAGAGTTCAAAATGATTGTAAACGAAAGAAACGCTGTGTTGAGATATATTTTTTCGATACAATACTATAAGCTCCTCATATAAAAAGCATTGAACGTATTTGTGGTCCTCGATACTGATATATACATAAAGCTTGGAATTGTTATCTATACGTTTACATATGTGGTTAATATAACTCGATTAGTAATGTGTGAAGTGATGCACTTAAGCATTTTACTAATCATCTGTTTAAAATGATCAATACCTTTGTCTAATTGTTCCTTAAGAATAGATAGATGTTTGCTCAGTGTTGAATGCTTTGAATACCGTACGGTGAAATATAATAATAACTGCTTACATCTACGTAAACATACCACATCTTCTACGTTTTATATATCAGTTTAAATCAATTTTTAAGAATTATTTTCGAAAAAGTCATCCCTACTTCAAATATTTATTGCTATGCCAATGAGGCTAAATTATATTATTGTATATTTCGTAATCGGATTTTTCTGCTATTCTCCATTCATGTCTTTGTCGTTTCGAACGTTTAACAACTCCGCTTTAGTTTGGAACAATATACATATATTTATATTTACATTGGTACAAGTGGATTATCGGATTTATCCAATCGAGATAGTTAAATTATCGATTTTAAGGTCCGAGCCTCGAGCCTCGGAGAGAACTTTAAAATTCGATCATTTAACTATCTCGATTGGATAAATCCGATAATCCACGAGTAACTAACTATGCATGAGTTTGTTTCTTTAATGATTATCAAATAGATTTTCATTTTTGATAAACAAAAATTCCAATCCAAGTGCCTTCTACTTTTTCGGATTCCTGCGTCTTACAAATATAAAGATGACCAATCTCTCTAACACATTGTTTGCACATTTCGATTGATCCAGAGAGCTGATAAAGGATGTGACCTTTTAGCTTAGCCAATCATCTACTGAGATCATCGGCAACCACACGTTGATTAAATGTTTTAAACAATGGGTCCAGAAAGGGTTGATTATACAAAAGAGTAGAGAAGTACATGTACATGTGTATTTATTATATACGTTTAATTTTTTTTTAAAGTTGAGCTTGTAGATGTCTTTTGGAGTGACACGCTGTATTTAATCGATCAAAATCACTTATTTCATGCAATAATAGTCATTGCAATAATAATAAATAATGTTAAAATAACAACAATTTTTTTTTGTTTTATTGAGGATGGCAGCAATGCTGAGTTGAAATTGAATAATGTTGCTGGAATTTTCTACATTTTAATTGGTGGATTATGTTTGTCAGTAATCATTGCTGGATTCGAATTCTTATACAGGTCAATAGCTGAATCTAGAAAATCTCAGGTATTTAGAAAAAATATAGAACTTTAATCAGTTGTTAAAGCAAAATGTTTTAAACATTTCCTATCAACAACAAAAATAATTTGCATTTATCATCATAAAACACTAGAATAGGGAATGGAAACGGGGCTTGTGTCAAAGAGACAATAATTTGACCAAAGAGCTGAAAAACAGCCTGAGGCTACCAATGGGTCTTCAACGCAGCGAACAAATACCAAAACTTGGGGCGGGTTTCAGCTGACCCCTAATCATTTTATACGTTTTATTTTAGTTGTAGCCTAGATTGAGGATGTATCATATTAACATGCACAAAACATGTTTATTATAGTACCTGTTCAATGTGGTCAGTAACTGATAATGGTAATTGTTCTTGACAAGTGGTCATTACTGTTGCTTTCTTGCCAGTGAACCAGCGTGTTGCCACACAAACTTGTTTTCATGTAAATAGTTGCAATTTATATTAAAGATGCTACGTAGAAACTCGACAATACCGACACTAAATTTCCATTTTAAATCTAATTCTAAAATAGTGAGTGAAAATTTAGAGTTATATATTATTTAAGTCTTATATTTCTTTCCCATTTCTGTTTATGTTTTATGATTGTTGGAATGTGTTAGATTAACATGATGAGACCTTAAAAAAAGATGTGGAAGATACCACAAGGACGACCAAAACTCTTAAGTGGAAGAAAAACTGATAACGCAATGACAATCAACGTAAAACGACGAAAAGTCGAAAAGTCGAACAAAACACAGAAAACCGAATGTCATTTAGAAATCAACATATTAAGATCCTCAACAAAAAACACCTATCTATGCCATGTATAAAGATCTCAATCGCCTAAAGCCCAAATGAGCTGTGGAGTAACATTGACTTAAAAAGACTCGCCTTCAACTCTTTATACTTATATCAACCTAAAACATCAAGATAAAAAAAATGAAGCCAACAAGATTGCTGATAGAGAGGCTCAATATCATGACTTTTGTGTAGATGTTGATTTAGTTTATTTGTGATCGAAACACTCTATCTTTCTAATCTCGGTTGTACATATAAAGCACTTAACTCCCTACTAACGGTATAATGGAGTGTCCTTATTTAGTCTATCCATAAACTGTAATTGAGTACGATAAAAGAATAATTGTTTATCAGCATGCTTGAGGTAATTGCTTATATTGTCTTTGTTTCTTTTGATATATGACAGAAAACTTTTGGTACAATCGTTAGGCAAAAAGCTCGCCTTTCCTTCAGAGGATCTATAGATTCAGTCAATCCGGAGGCTTCAACTCCATTAAAAAGTTCCGGATCATTTGGAACAGTAAGTAGGCCTTTTCCATCGTGTTTTATTTGATCTCTATTTTATGCTGTATCCTTGAACAAAAGGATATTATTAAGTTAGAAAGTTGAGATATCTGTATCAAGTTTAAGATTTTAATGGGATTGTATGCCAATGTTCTGATATTGACGTTTGACTTAACTTAATCCCCAATAATAAACGGAGATGCATCTGCTGACTGATTAACATTGTCATTATAACTAGAAATAACACAAACGTCGAATAAACAAACAAAACTAATTTTGACACTCTTGTTCAGTGTCAAATTCAATTCAACATTTCAGTAATGATAGAATTGATACCCGTTAAGTATAAATTGACACCAGACTCACGAAACATGACATTTATAACGGGTTGATGTTTATCAAATTTGATTTTTTAACTTTGTAGCTTCAGCTACTTTTTATATAGAGACAAGTCACACCGTAATGACAATTCTTTCATTCGGCGTTCAAGAATCTAATGCATTCTGGGTAATATTTCAAAAAGTGTACACCAAAACGTTGTGATTGGTTAATAGCGTTCACAACAATGAAAATTCAAACAATGGCATAACGATAATTGCAGTTTGATGTACGTACAATGAAATTAACTATATTTCTTCTAACTTCTAAAATGGCGACTTTGTTTTCAATTATGAACATTTTTTTTAATTAATTGGTTATACACCTTATCGCTATTTGTCCGCCACTACTGGACATCACACAGGTTCCCGTAAAATTTTGACGTCATAATACAAAATATCTGACGCCACAATGGAAAAGTGATTGTTGTATGACGTCAATAGTTCAAGCGGGAAAGATTCCCGGGTCAGCCGGGAATAGCGATAAGGTGTATTAATGTAAATAGAAGATAAAGTGGTATGATTGCGGATGAAAAAATTATCCACCAAGGTTTGAATGAAGTGGATTTTAGCAATTATAGGCAACTATATGGCCTTCAACAATGAGAAAACTCCATACCATATAGTAGGCTATAAAAGACAACGACATGAAAAATGTGAAACAATACAATAGAGAAAACTAACGGCCTAATTTATAAGAAAACAATGTACGAAACACAAATATGACGGACATAACCCAACGACAACCACAGAACTACATGCCGCTGTCTGCATTTAAACATGGATATCTATATGCCAAGTGTTGTGTAGGATCGTTATTTTTTGTATTTAGAATCACGTTTAGTAAGTTCTCACCAACTCAACCCAAATGACGTGCGTACAATAAAGTAGCATTAACAGAAAACTATGCCTCCAAATGTAGGTCTATATTGCTAAAAATAGAAGAAAACGTCACCTCATTGTTTATGTGATTTTGAAAGTGTTTGCAGATAAAAACGCACATACTGTTTAAGAACGTACATGTAAACTACTTTAGTGCACACCGCTCGTTGTGGAAGAGACTGTTTAGATTTTGTTATCTGGTCTTGAGTGTATAGAGTGGTGTGTTGAAAATTGGTATTTGCTGCTTCTTCACTAATAGTGCGCCATTGAGGAGTTAGGTCAAAGATCGGTATGTAGTCAAAACATTGTGACGGGAGAGGATGAAATGTCTTCAGGCCGAGTGTTAACTTGTTTACTAAGGTTACTACAGAAAGAATGTCTACTACATGTTTTGATCTTTTCCCCGATATTGACATAGATGGATGATTTCAAACTAGAATCCATGACAAACGTGATGAATTCAATTTCCATTTGTCAACTTCCCATTTATAAGCAGTAACATACCGTCTGCTCAATCGTATGGCGATTACCTATCTCAATTATTACTATATGCTCGTAAATGATCACACTATACAGACTTCCTAACAGCAGTGTGGTCCTTATACAAAAACTGTTGCTACAGAGTTATAAGGAAGAACGACTGAAGTCAACACGATGTAACTTTTACGGTCACCATCACGAATTGGTTCACCGATACGATATGTCGATGTCTTAACTCTATTGCGACAAATTTTTGTAGTCTTATATTTTTAGTTACCAGTATAATCGTCTGATCTGTGGCTTATTCTCTATTATGACATGTTGACTGAGTGAATTCGTATGGCGGGTGTTGCATGACGACGCACCTGGTCTCTCTCCTGTTTGAAGTTCTAGCAATTCCCACAGTTTCCATTTGTTACCTTCGCTTGTCTCTTCCTAATCAATTTACGAGATTTGAACAACTACTGCCGCCTTTATTTACCAGAAAAATGAAAACCTGCTCAAGGTATCGGTCTAGTACAAAACAGGGTTAATATTCATACCCCATTAACATGTGCTCGTCCTGATATGCATGCACATTTGCAACTTAAAAACCAATATCATCATCAATATATCTTAATTTAAATAAAAAGTTAAATAACAAAAATACCGAACTCCAAGGAAAATTCAAAACGGAAAGTCCCTTATCAAATGGCAAAATCAAAAGCTCAAACACATAAAACGAACTAGTTTCTTTGCAGTTCATAGAGTACACTGTCAGTTATGATATATCCTCTCTTTTATTAGTTCATTTGACCCAAAGCGCCAGTGTTATCTATTGCCATCACCTAGCGTCCGCCGTCTTTCATCATTCGTCGTCGTCCATTTACTTTTATAAAGAGCATCTCCTCTGAAACTACAGGGCCAAATTTAACCAAACTTGGCCACAATCACTAATCCGGTATTTGTTTTACGGCCGACAACCATAGCTGTAATGGCTAAAAATAGAACATAAGGACAAAATGCAAATTCTGTCGATTGTCTTGAAAACGGCAATAATCTGACAGAAGTAAAACAGTTCAGAATAATGTGATATATACGTACTTCAAGTCTGTTTACATCAAATTTGTCAGACGACATCTTATAAGTTATTGCCCTTAAAAGACGAATTTATCAATTGTTTTCAATTTTTGCCTATTTTATCGAAAATTATAAAACATAGACAGAAACTTTAAAATGCAAAAATGATCGAAATCATAAGTAGACATCGTATTGCAGTAATTGCCCTTTAATGATTTTTTTCCAATTTTTTGCATTTTTGCCTATCATCTTGAAAACTATAAAACAAAGATAGAAACTTTAAAATGCAAAACTTATCAGCAAAAATAAGTTTCACAAATGAGTTAAATGACCGAAATCGTTAGTCCAGGACATTTGAAGTTATTACAATTAAATGATGATTTTAGCCTATTATCTGGAAAACTATAACTGATAGTAGAAGCTTTAAATAGCAAAAATTACCAGCAAGCCAAGATCTACAAATAATTCAAATGGCCAAAATCTTAAGTCGTCTCGTTATTGGAGTTGTTGCTCTTCAAAGATAATTGTTATCATTTTTAGTCTATAATCTTGAAAACTATATCAGATAAATAGACAATAAAAAAGGGAAAATGGTCAGCAGGATAAGATCTAGAAGTATGTCAACATGAATGAAATAGCTATTAAGAGTTATTCCCAGTTAATGATTATTTTTATATAGAATGGCCATTGTTGGAGATGAAGGTGAGCGACAAGGATCTTTAGAGACTCTTGTTTCAATCAAAGTTAGATTTTTTAAGTATGCATTTGTGAAGGTAAGAAAAAAGGTCTTTGGCTTTAAAACAACTGAAAAAGTATGATAATGTCATCGCTTTTAATGTTAAACATGGTAACTTACTGAACGACATATAAATTTAAGTAACACTTTTAGTGAAATATCTCTTTGTCGTTGATATTTCTTTACTTTCATATAATACTGGTAGTATTTGGTTTTTGAATCTCAAACTTGTCAAAGGAAAATAGAAAATCTTCAAAAAACAAATCATGAAGGAAAATTCTTTGCGTTCTTCGAATCTGAATTTTAAAAATTAAATGTATGCACAATGTCAAAAAAAAAAAACAACGTGAGATTTTTTTGTGTGTAACGTTTGTCCTGCGATCATAATGCTCAATTCAAAATCATATCCGTCATGTATTTAAGGAAACATTTCACTTTTTAGTACCATCAATTAGATCATTTATTTTCATTGCAGTACAAATATAATGGACCATCACAGTTACCTGGTTTTGACCCTTATGTTGACACAAACACTCATACAGAAGTATGACGTCCAACCAAACGACTACTGTTGACCTCTCCATGGTGGTATAAATATTGCTTGTGATACATTTTACATCTGTACAGTTTAATGACATTCATAACATCGACGTTTGCACGTGGTTTTGTATTTTGTTAACTGTTTATTATGTATAAATTGATTAAAATTTTTATATATATTTGACGTATAGATGAGGTGGTGATCATTTTATTTACGTCAATAATAGACACTCTGTCTTCCAGTATTTGTCGAGTTCAAAGGTAAATTGTATTTGTTACAAATTCAAAAAAATCCATTTACAAATAAAATTAGGATAAATCATATTAAGACAGTTCTTTTGATGAGTTTGGTTTTCCCTTATTTTTATAAGAATTACTATTTGTTTATGTATATATAGACATATGGATATCATATACAAAAAGCACGGACTTTTGAAGTAGATTAAATACGACACTGATGATGCTTTGTATATCTTTTACTTTTCTTACAAACTGAAAATATATATTTTGTTTTGTGCTTGTTTTGACATTGACAAGGATATTGGAACGACTTGAGTCACATTGCTGATATAAACTAAAAATATATGCCGTTTAATTTTTCACACATATTCCGTCTTCATAAAACAAATGTTTTTTTTTATACATTATATTTGTTTATTTCTAGAGTGGTATTGTAGTTGTGTGTACATTGTTGTTATCATTCAATTATTGATCCAGTCATTATCATAATCATCATAAAAATGTACTCACGTATCACTCGTATCAATTCTAACAACTCAGTGCTGGTACAGTATGATTTAACTTATACACAAAAATTAATTACATTTATTTATCACATAACTTTCAGCCTTAGAAACTAAAGGCAAAGTAATCGTTCTCTTGGTTGAATCATGTTGAAATTATTATAAAAGAAAAATGTATTCTGATTTTTAACAAATGAATGATACTCAAACACAATATTTTGTATAGAAAAGAAACAAAATTCTTGAAAAAGATTTGCCATTCTAGTATTACTTGTGGTATGCATTGAGAGAGATTTTTTTTATATACAAACCTTATTCATAGCCATAACGTTTTTTCTGTGATAGCCTATTTTATATGCGTGCATCGAACTACATACAAGGTATCATAATTGTGCAAATGTGTTTGTATCTAAATATGGTGTGGCATTGATGCACAATGAATTAAGGCTTAAACTGTTTCACACTAACATTTATCTTAATATATGTATTAAGTGTACATAACTTATTTGAAAAGTGTTCGTCATTTGTCAATGTCATATATGTATGTTTAATTTTATCGTACCATAAAACTATGTTTATGATGTCAGAATAAAATATTATGCACCCGGATTACTACTGTAGTATATATAAAATTGAGAATAGAAATGGGGAAAATGTCAAAGAGACAACAACCCGACCAAAGAGCAGACAACAGCCGAAGACCACCAATGGGTCTTCAACGCAGCGAGAAAATCCCGCACCCGGAGGTGGTCCTCAGCTGGCCCCTAAATAAAATTGTGTACTAGTTCAGTGAAAATGGACGTCATACTAAACTATGTGTTTTTCTTGTTCACATAAAAGTTGGGCGTATATAACCAAACAAATTTAGGTTGCACTTTGCACTTGTAAATACAGCTGTTTCACAAACCAAGCCTCTTTTGCAGAGATATCTAATATTCATAGATATTTAGTTTTGTTTACCTACTGGTTCCCAGATATGATCTTTATGTTTCATCTCGTAGAGACATAACTTGGGAATGTTTCCAGTTTAAATACACATGAATAGCGGCCAAATTGAAATGTTGTGGAAGACCCAAAGTGAAGAGAGGGGTAGTACAGAATTTTAGTAAAAGTTTAAACTCTGAGAAGTTCGAGGCATATAAATGTTGAAAATATGCCGCACAGCCCTATATTTTGACCTTTGAAAAAAAAGTAGTGCATATGAGCTTTCCATTCTAGGATATAATTTTTCACGAAACTTCCTAGTAAAAGTGGTACAGTTTTGGCCGTAAAAGGAGTTTCCATGGTAAATTGCATTTTCTATATTTACAGAATTGCAACCTACATTGAGTGAAAAAGAGAACATGTAGAATTTCAAAAATCTTGATTATCTTCTTAATGAAATTAACTCAAATATAAAGTTTTATAGATATTTCATGAAGATTGAGAAAATCCTGGGCCTTCACTATGATGACTCAGCATGAATTCACAGTTTACAATATGCATAGTTTACCTAAAGCCCTGTACGCAAAGTAAATCAGTATATATGCACATTTGTAGTTTAAATTGTAAGGCAGTGCTTATATTTACTCTTCGCAGTCATTGAAACTCATAGATCATTGATTAATATTGTTGTTGGAGTGTTTTTGTCATGTCGAAAACCCAAAAGTAAGCCGTAACACCTGAATGTGCTTTCTTGTGACCGCGGCATAAAAAAATACAAGCTAGAGATACGAAAATACCTCAACAAAACTAACAATAGTGTGTTCTATCCTAAAAATGTACTAAATATTCCATATTCACAGAAACTACAGAATTAGTTTGCAAATGTGATGCCCCAGGTGCAAAAAACAGAGAAAAATCCCCCTAGCCCCTTAGTCGTAAAACAGATAATTTTAGCCTGTAAAGGCTATGGTTTTATTATTATAAAGGTCTTTTGTATAGAAAACAATAACTGTGTTTTAAATTAATGCAAAAACAGATTCCATCACTTAGTTCTATAAAACTTTCAGTGAATTCATATATCAGACTGGTAAATTCATACTTACAATTTTTAGAAATATTGCTTTGTTTAAGCACTTCTAGTCATATATTAGCCAAATTATGTTAGGTATATAGTAAGAGATAATATAATTGTGACAAGATTTCTTAACTGACCATTTAAGGCAGAAATTGTGAACGTTTATAGATAAATAGGCATACAGTAAGATGTGGACTGGAGACAGAGGCAGGATTGGATACTTTATATAATCTTGAATGTTGTAATGATAAACTACTAAACTTTACATTTATAGTATTCTGAAATGTTTTCAATTTGTTATCAGAATAGTTTCATACAGGTTCTAGGCATTTCATGTCAGAAAACATGCACATAGGGTAAGCTGACATTAATTAAAGTCTTGTTTTCAAATTCTTTAAAAATTGAAACAGGGGGAGGGGGTATCAAATGTACTATAAAAGAAAAAAGAGCATATGCAGTGATTTCTTTTAGACTATGATTCTGATAAATAACTATTGTTGTTAGAAAAAGTGTTTTTCAAGATTTTTCTATTTATAAATGTTAGTATAGGTTGCACTTTGTAAATACAGCTGTTTCACAAACCAAGCCTCTTTTCGGGAGATATATAATATTCATAGATATTTAGTTTTGTTTACCTACTGGTTCCCAGATATGATCTTTATGTTTCATCTCGTAGAGATATAACTTGGGAATGTTACCAGTTTAAATACACATGAATAGCGGCCAAATTGAAATCTGTGGAAGACCCAAAGTGAAGAGAGGGGTAGTACAGAATTTTAGTATAAGTTTAAACTCTGAGAAGTTCGAGGCATATAAATGTTGAAAATATGCCGCACAACCCTATATTTTGACCTTTGAAACAAATAGTAGTGCATATGAGCTTTCCATTCTAGGATATATTTTTTTACGAAATTTCCTTGTAAAAGTGGTACAGTTTTGGCCGTAAAAGGAGTTTCCATGGTAAATTGCATTGTCTATATTTACAGAATTGCAACCTTCAGATATGCATGCTGAAAATGGCATTTGGACCCCCTAATGTCTAATCCTAACTTCCTTTACGACTGTTTTCTTTTAATAATATAAAAAAAACTTTGAAAAAATTGTGTTATTAAATTTGATATTGAGTGTGCTAGCTGACAAACTGCTCAAAAATAGCTTCCATGTCAGTGTACTAAATCACCGTTAGAGAGAACGTAGTAAAATCAAAATTGGCTGTATAAAACTAAATTTTAATTCAAATGTTAATCGTCATTCTAGATCTCATATAAATATCCCCAATGTATAAAAAAAAACAATAATTCCAAAAAAAAACAGATTGAAATCAGATGCTACGAAAGGATATGAAGCTCCATATTTCGTACTAATGGGGTTGCACATGATCATAAGTCAATTTCGATAATGTCATGAACGAGGACGACTGAGACGAAATTTAGAATATGACTAGTAGAGCATATCTTTGTACATCTAGATGTGTGCAACATATTTTCCGAAATTGTAAACCACATCTACAGAGCGGTTGTTTAATTATTTAAACTGATTAAACTATTAAAAATAGTTGGTAAAGGAGCTAGGTTGGAAGTAATAATCTTAGTATATGCCAGCAATGAATTCCATGTGCAACATTTGCTGAAAAGTTATAACATAAATATTTAATGAAAAAAACACTTTATAAACACTTGATAAATTTGGTGAGCCTGAAGCGCTTTTCTGGATTTACAATCATCTGGAACGTTGAAACTCCAAAAGTTGAAAGTGAATGATATAGTTACCTGAATAAAAATTTACATGATTAAATATCATTTTGACATTTAACGTTAAATATCATTTTGACATTAAACGTTCACAATAAACAGCTAGCTATCAAACCAGGTTTAAGCCAAGTCAGGGATATGAAAGTTGTTTTCCATTCGTTTTATGTATTTGAGCTTTTGATTTTGCCATTTGATAAAGGACTTTCCGTTTTGAATTTTCCTTGGAGTTCGGTATTTTTGTTATTTTACTTTTTACTTTACACTGAATTCACATTAGTTGTCGTTATATCCTTCATTCAAAGTTGAATTTTATAGCTAAATTGAACATACATTTCAATTTCACCTGAGGAAAATGATATCACTTAAGTTATCGTTATGTGTAGAGTTCTCACCTGACTAAATACCAAAATAAAGTTTACTAATTAAACATATCTTAGTGTATGTTGTGTTAAACTTTATTTCAAGTAGAATTTGATAGATAAAATGTCACCTAAAAGTTAAATGTTCTATAAAAGAAAAGACACTACACAGCGGACAAAAAGTAAAAAGATAATAGTAGCTTTTTCTATTCTTTAGTACCCCAATACACTATTATAAGCGTGTTGTCTATGTAATATCTTGGTAGACAACGGAATATGATGTAAATGTATCGAACATCTTAGACCGTGTTCACATTGAGCTAAACTAGGTGTGGTGTAAGTGTACTCTAGACCATACTTTGACCTATAATGGTTTACTTTTATAAATTTTGACTTGGATGGAGAGTTGTTTCATTGGCACTCATACCACATCTTCTTATATATATCTGCACTTGAATCAAACTCAATTACGTTCAAATAGTTATAAAACAATGTTTACATGTAGTTCAAATCAGGTTTTGACTACATGCAGTCAATATACAATGTAGGCCTTGTGTGGGTTAAGTGTTCATAAAACAAGATATTAAGAACGTGGATTTTATTGTGAATATATAAGGAAGTTACATATATTGAAAAAATATGATTATAACCATCATATGAATTAGGTTGTTTTCCAATTTATAAAACAAAAACTCAAAAATTGCTCCCTTAAAACATGATTAAATTTAATAGCCTTAGTGGACCATTTGATTTTCAGTGTGAAGGAGATGTTTTTATGATTGAATATTCATTTTACACCGGTTGATAGTACGGTTTCTGTATTTAGCGCGAAAATTATTTTCACTTTTTGTACACAACTTTTTTTGCAAATTCCTGTATTTTGTAGACCAAAATTTTTATTTTCATTCTGTCGTGGACAAAGTTATTTTTACAGTTAGTACAAGTCTAGAGTATTCATTTTCAAAATCACCCCATGTGTGACTGGGAATAGAAATATGGTCACTTAGATCTTTTGATCGGCCGAAAAACTCCTTATCAAAGTCCGTTTGGCTGTGCGAGATGTACAAGTACTCAGCCACGGCCATCTTCATCTCGGACGGCCTCTATTACAGGACCTACCTATTGTATTTATAGTCAATATGTTCTCGGCCTAAACATGCATGAAATATTTGCCACTGGACGGTAATCAATCAACAATCAATCATTTTTAAAATCCTTTTTTTTGCCTTCAAGTTCTCCAAATCAATAGAACGTTTTTCTTAAGGTACCGACCATTCATCTTCGTGGGACAAACCAATTTTGTTTTATTACTTTAATAAAAAAGAAACACAATTCTTTTTTTCAATAACATACAGGAAACTCCATGTTGAATCCCCCCCGCCCTTCATTTTCAAGAAATCAAATAATTTTTCTCACTTCCCTCCTAGAACAAATACATTTTTTCTTAAAAAAAACTTGATTTTGATAATTAATTGCCCCCCCCCCCCCCCCCGCCCTA